TTGAATCTGAATGGCAGATTAATCTGCCATTCAGATGGTAATTCATCTCAATGACAACTACTGTGAGATTAGTTTTTATTTTTAACATTTCCTTTTAATTTATTTTTAAACTGTGGTTGTTAATTTAGTGTTGTGATGAGATTTAATAATTTTTAAAATGATGCAGAGGTATTTTTGGGGGGAGTAAATCAACACATAATGATTGATTATCACTTCATTAAATTACTACTATTCTTACATAATTTTAATACATGGTTATTTATTGTTTGCTAAGAAAATATTCAGCCATTTTTTAAACATTTACAATAAATAATTATTACATATATTAATTAGAAAATATTTGAGCAAAGAAATTTGATCAAATCAAACATCAAAGAACAACCTCAAGTCAGCACAAGTGGCCACCAGATGAAGGATCAAGTTTGGATTTTTATTCCCCACACGGAGTAAGCAAACACATGCAGGAGGCAAATATGGAGATCTTCTGAAATGCAACTTCGGTAAGTTTTAAATCTGTTTAAATACAATTATATAGTCTAGAATTTGAGGACTCAATGGTTGGAAAAAAAACGTTATTTTTTGTGCCACTACAGGGCATGCAAAGTTGTAACGTTAATTAATCACTGTGGCATATGAGATGGGGTCACCATTTTATCATTTGTTACAGTTGTCTTTTGTTTTGTCCAAAGTTTATTGAAGAAGGTAAAATATACATGTACATGCATTATCTTTTTCATTAAAAAAAAATATTATAAACATTGCTTAGAATATTTGAACCAAAATCAAGGTATCCAAGGAGACCATGCAAGCCTTCCTCTGCATTTTCCAAAAAAATGGAATCCCAGAACTTAGATGCCAACATGAACAATAAGATCTTCCTAAACCAGAAATGTCATAAATCACTTGAACACCGTTTGAGCAAAAATGAATCAATCAAACCGATTCAGTGGAAACATGATTCGTTTTCAAGCACGGCAAATTACAGAGAATCTAATGTATTTTTTAAAAATATATATTTCTAAAGTATTATGTTATTTATTGTACCAAGGTACCCATGGAGACCAAATACATTTTTTTTCAGAGCATTTTTTAAGAAGGGGGACAAATGTCATGCAGTTACACAGCGTTGGCCACAAAACGGCAACTGATTCTCTTTACCGGCTGTGATATACTGGCCCATCTGTCTCAGCTCACTGGACCACCGTGAAATGATTATACTGAAGGAGAGCCTGTTTCAGGGTTTTACCCTGTTGATGATTGCCTTAGGTAAGTACTAACTTTTTTTCTACTTCTGATCATCCTGTGATTTCTTATTGTTTATTTCATGAAGTCTATTTCATAGACTTTATTTTCATATGTGTCGTGCACCCTCTCACAGGCGCCCAGCCCACATGGGCTTACAGGACACAATAATACATATACGAGTGGACACACATAAATAGTCTTGAAATAAAAAGTGTCCTATTTTTAAGGTGCTGAGCCTTCAAAATAAACTGTGCTAACTGAAACACAAAATATTTACATAAGTGACGCATTTTTGTCTCCATCAGTTAAATACAAGAAAGAAATCTGGAGAAACATCAAGTGTTTTAGTAAATGCATCATTTCTCAAACTCAAGTACAAAGGACAGTAAAACAAAAAGTGTGCTTCACTCTCAGTTTCCCCCAAATCACACAGAGAACGTCTTCGGTCGTCCTCTGAGACCGAACGGAAACGTCCGGTCTCCAAAGCGAAGTGCCAGATCTAAACTGGGCGCACATAGATCTTTGTTCCATGATGCACATGGCTCAAGACTAAAGGCATCAATTAATAAAATATAAGAAGGTAATTTTGGCTTATGAAAGGTATCAACTGCCCACTTACGCTTATAACCTTCAAAATAAAACTGTTTAAGCTGTTCAATATTACATCTTAACTTATTCCTACCAGTGTACTGAAAATCCAAATCTTCTGATATCTTAACATTTTTTCTGGCCCCAGTATACCTGTTTGTGACATCCCAAAGCAAAAAAGTTACAATGAGAATAAGACTTCTTCATATAACTGATTATGTGAATTTTCTACATTATTTCTCATTTCAATTTATTATATCCTTCCTAGATTGGCATTTTTTAAAGTTCATAATGCTTGCAAATTGCATACGACAGTGGATGTAAAAGTAGAGACAAAATCTTGTTTGGTGGCAAAAAAGAAAAAAATGAGGCAAGAGAAGAAAGAAGAGAACTTGGCAGGTAACAGGGGAAGAAGGCCACTGAAAGAGCAATAGGTGGAAAAACTGATGAAAATAAAAGAATAAAAGAAGATGAGATGGTTCCATAGAGAGAAAGAACATGCTGCACTGCAGCTCATAGTGAAGCGAGGCCTCGGGTGGCCACAAGGGGGCTCCCAAGAACAGTTTATTTTTTTCTTTTTGCCAGTATGAAAAATGATTTCTACATAGTCAAATGTTACTAAATACTAAAAAAACAAAAAAAAAAAACATTTCCACTTAGGGGGCCTCCCAATGGCTCCTTACGCCGTCACTAAGTTTTGCTTATGTTGAAGCCATTTCATTTAACCCTTTTGGCGTCTTAGTGTGCCGCTCACGAGGACTGGAACAAATGACACAGACTAGCTGCAGGAAAGCAGAGGGTTGTTCAGTCAGACCATCAGTTCCCGAAAGCACCAAAAAAGTAAATGAATCTTGTAAAGCTCACTTTGGATCAGTGCCACCCTGTTGCACCACACAAAGGGTAAAAAAAAAATTGCGTCTAAACTGAAGTTGTTCTGGTTAGCTTCACATGTTTTTTTGTGTCTTCTGCGATCTCTGGCCAATATTGCTCCCAATTAAAGCTTTAATATGTTAGAAAACATATCTACAAAATATATCATTTACCATTTATGTTAAAGCACCCCCGTTTATTTTTCATGACTGTTATGAAGTCTATCTAAGCTAAGGTTGTTTTTACATCTTGATGTTATGTTTTATCTTACATCTATTATATTTGTGATTTTTCCTTCGTAGGGTTAGGCATTGGGTTTTTGGTGAGGATTATGGTTCCTGTAACGAAAGCTCAAATGGAGTGGATCAGACTCCCAGGAGATTTGCTTTTCAACGTGCTTCAGCTATTTGCTGTCCCTCTCATTGTGACAAGTGTGATTACAGGCAAGCTGAAAATACAGACACTTTATGTGTTAACTTGTAAAATGTTAGAGGAATAGATGTAAAAGGTGCTCACTTCTTTTGTGGATATTCTGTATCAATGTTGCTCAAAACACTTGACTGTATATATAAGACTTATCTGACATTTTTACCATTTATTTGTTGTGGCTAAAAAGTGTTGAAAGATGAAGATCAGTTCAGACATTTGTGTGTTATCTTGCTCATTGCTCAGGCACCAGGTGAACTTCTGGTTCTGATCTCTTTTCTCAGGAGTAATTGGAATAAACAGCAGATTACCTGGAAGAACAGCCGTCTACACAACAACGTACATCTGTGGCTCTACCATTCTGGCCGTAATTCTTGGTGACTTTATAATGGGCAGCACATTTTAACAGATTTATCAAAACAGTCATAGTGTAATTGTATTGTGTAATTGTGTTGACATACTGCCTGTGACTTTGTGTTGCAGGAATGAGCCTCGTGCTCCTGACCGAGCCTGGTATGGATCACACAACGGGCACAACCATTAACACAGATATGCCGTCCTCCTCTATGCATGTGATTTTCATGGATCTTATTAGGTGAGAAGACAAGTGTTTATACACAATTGCTGGTTTGCATATTCAGGCTGTGATCTGAAGAAGTTAAAATAGAAATTTTTGTTATCTCTGACCATCATAAATTAAAACTTTCTTGGTTTATGTGAAATTCTGATATTATGGAAAAAAAACATCCTCATGTTCCATCCATCCATTATCTAACACGCCCGTCCCTAGTGGGGTTGCGAGGGGTGCTGGGTGAGAAGCGGGTCCACCCTGGACAGGTCGCAAGTTTATTTTATTTTTTGTCTGACTCTCCATTGACTCGCGTAGGAACATGGTTCCAGAGAGCTTCGTTCAGGCTTTCTACGAGCAGGTATGTTTTTATTCAGCTCCACAACTCACTGTGCAACTTTCTATGTTTGATTTGGAAAGTTTTAGAAAAGTTTCTTTTTGTTTTCTTGCAGTACAAGACACAGATTGTTCAGGTTAAAATCCAAACTTCTAACCTCTCCCTTGATCTAACAGCAGTGAGTATTTTCTTCTGATCTTTGCTCTTTTTCTAGAGCACCTTCCCGAAGTCTTTATATCCCTTGAGCTTTTTCACATGTTGTCACATTACAGCCACAAACGTCACTGTATTTTGTTTAGATTTAAAACAGTAGACCAACACAAAAGAGCACCTTATTGTGAAGAGGAAGAAAAACGGTGGACGGCTTTAAATTTCTTTCAAATTAAAACGTGAAGAGAGAGGTGGTGCTTGTTCTCACCCCACCTGAGGGACAGACGTGCCTTTCTGTATGGTCATTGGGTGTGAGGAGGTATACATCACTGGGGAACAGACAGACAAACAACCATGAAAAAACACCTGTGGGTTAAGACAAAACCAGCTGACCCAACAATAAGTTTTTTTGGGAAGAGCGAGGAACATCACTTTTCACATTTTGCCACAGATTTTCTGTTGTATTTAAGCCTGGATTTGACTGCAGGGAGCCATAATCTGGTCATGCTTTCACCTAAACCATTCCATTGTAGATATGGACTGAATGTGGCTGTTCTGCTGCAAGGTGAATGTCCTCATTTTCACCCTAAATTTGTCCTATAAACAGATCGTAAGGAAAATTAATGCCATTCTTGCTGACAAATCTATCCCTTTACATGCTGAGTTCCAGTTTGGCCTCTAGCTCAGACTTCTTAGTATGAACAGTAACAGGTACAAGCACTCCTTTGTCCCTACTGCAATTTCTCTTTTTAATGCAAGACAAGGTAGGGGGACTTGCATCTGATTGTTAGTGTTTGTATGAACTGTCTGTCGACACTGCTGTACTCTTCTTATTACGTATTGATTTATATTTGATGTCTTTTTTGATAAGTTTTTTTGTTTTTTATTTTTTAACTTTGATACTTTGTCTTTTAGTTGTTATACTTACTGTAACATCAATTACCCATTTGAGACATGAATAAATCTGAATCTAAACCTGAATTTTCCTGGACATAGCTCCATCCGTCAGCTTCCCTGTCCCCGCAGAAGAAAGGCAAATAAACACACCTGAGGATAACTGGATATGCATTGGCTAATGAAGGAGTTACAGCATAAAGTTTAGCTAAATACACAAATACTTTTTAGATTTTTACATGTAAATTTTACATCTCACAATTATGCAGTGCTTTGGATTGGTATTTTACAAAGTAAATGCAAATAAAATGCATCAAAGTTTATGGCTTTAGTGTGACGTATTGTGAAAAAGTGATATGTACTGTCCAACAATGTGCTGTACTCCTATAAAACTGCTCTTGGAGAGTTAGGTCCAGCACATTTGTGTTTCTAGGTGCAGAATGGCATTGAGACGCGACTGAAGGGCGGCTATGTCGCTGGTACCAACATGCTAGGACTGATCATCTGGTCTTTTGCCATTGGCATCTTGTTAAGCAATGTGGGAGGCCAGGCCAATGTCACTGTGACGTTCATTAAAAGCGTCAACACTGCAATAAAAATCATATTCAACTGGATCCTGTGGTAAGATCAAGCACTGCATCATTTCTCTCTTTTACCAAATTAGGTTCATTTTTAATATTCAAAAAAATGATCTTAATTAATTCAGGTCAGACACAAGGGCAAATCACTGGGACCATACCTCTGAGATGTGATTCCAGTTTGCATAAGGAAGCTGTTTTTTTTTTTTTTTTTTTTTATTTACTAACAAAAAGGGGGTTGAAATAATTTTGGAACACCCATTTTCTTTAACCTTTTTTTTATTTTTTTATTTTTTGACTGTTCTTTGTTTCAGGTACTTGCCAATCGGCCTTTTGTTCCTGGTCGTGGAGCACGTGTTGGATGTTAAAGACTGGAGAGCTATCATTAAACTTGTCAGACTTACAGGGGTAATTTTTCTGGGGTATGTCCACCTTGTCCATTTCAGCTTTGTTTCCACTTCTCCTGAGGTGACACCACTTAACTCTACATAAAAAGGAGAGAAATTGCTTTGAATGTATTTACAGAACAGTGCAGTACCACTCCTACTCCTTCTTTATGCTCAGAGGATGAATACACACCAAAGATCAGTTCTTATGATCATTTTCAGTCCAGTTTAAAGCAGTTTGCTCCAGAAGTTCTGGCCCTAAGAGGTTTGTCATGTTTGCTGGTGAACAAACGGCATCATGAAGATCGTTACAGTCCAACCAATTCTTTATTTAGTTTTCTAAAACAAAAGCCCTTAAAAAGCAAATCTCAAAAATTTAGAAAAATGAACCCAAAAGAAAATATCAAATAATTCAAGCCCTAACTCAGGATAACAAACCAATGAACACACAGGGAAATTTATACACAAAGACTAGCCTACACAAACGAGGAGGAGTTGGGGAAGGAGACACAGACATAAATATAAACAAAATGCATAAACATAAACAGCTAATTCAAACCAACGCATTTTGACTACAATACAAATGTAAAAAAATAAAACAACCTAACACCAAAAATGTTTTAGCAATTGTGCTATTAGTAGAGAGAGAGGTAGATTTTTCAGCATCTGCCCCTCTGCTTCCAGCAGCCTGATGGACTGATCCACTTCCTGGCTTCTTTCCAACCCAGTCCTCTCCCCCAGGAGTCCTTTAAAACTCAGCAAAACAAAAAATAATTAGTAATACACATATACGTAAGGGGTTGACTAAATGTGTGCACTCATAATAGAAAACATCCTAATGCAATACCACAGAAGACGTGGAATTGTAAATACACTGTGTGAAAACATTTGAATGAATACTAACACTGGGGAAAAGCTGGAGGAACCTGCACAGAGACAAAGAAACTCATCTTCCTTCAGCACAACGACTCTAAAGACAACTTTCAAAGATCTAGATAAAAACTTATTCATGGCATAGTAAAAGTTCAAACCTATATCCAATCTGTAGAAAGCTTTGTGTTCACATGCAACATCCAGTCTGACTGAGCTGGTGCTATTTGTTTGTGCAAGTGTTGTTTCTATGAACGCGTAAAGCTGGTGGAGACACAACCCAACAGGCTGCAGCTGGAACTGCAGCAAAAGGACTCATTGAGACCAAATAGAGATGCACAAACATCTTCATAGATGTTGCTGTGCAACCATGCATCATTTTCCTTACACTTCACACTACTGTGTGTTAGTATATCATATAAAATCTCCCCAAACACATTGAACTGCCAAAAAGTGTCAAAGTTGAAGGCGAGTGAATATTTTTTTTCGTTGAATGACTTTAACAGTGAGCATGACTTTGTTGTCTCTTTCAGACTTGCAATCCACTCCTTTCTTGTTCTTCCATTGATTTACTTCGTGTTCACCAAACGGAACCCCTTTCTCATCTTCATCCAGGTTTCCAGGGCTTTGTTCACCTCAGTGATCATGGCGTCCAGGTGAAATGTTCTGTTTGTTTGTTGTCAGAGTGCGACACTTTTGTAGTTTCCCCATACAAACGGTTTACCAATAAAGGATGTGCTTTCTGCCAAAGTGCCGCCACTATGCCTGTCACCATTGACTGCTGTGAACAGAATGTGAAGGTCAATACGAGACTCTGCCGGCTAGTGTTGCCAATAGTCAACAGCATCAACATGAACGGCATGGCGCTGTATGAAGTGGTCGCTGTCATCTTTATTGCCCAGACAAGTGACATCATTTTGGACGTCAGCCAGATCATCACCATTGGGTAAGCTTCTTCCTAGAAGTACCTGGAACTGAGAAAAGTTGCATGCTGGCATTCTTAAGAGGAATACAGTTGTATGTTGAAGTTGAGACAGAAATGCTCATGGAGATTGTGCTTGGTTTGCAGCTTGACCAGTTGCATTTCAAGCTTTGGAGCCGTAGGTGTTCCAGCAACGGGATCTGCAACCACTATCCTAATTTTGACAGCTGTGGGACTGCCTGCACATGATGCCACCCTTCTTCTGGTTTTCGAGTGGTTTCTGTAAGTTTAACTTGATACTCATCACCTACTACGCTGTGTGCACAATTATTAGGCAAGTTTTAGTTTTGACCATATCATCATTTTTATGGATATTTTCCAATTCCAAGCTGTACAATCTTGGAATGCAGCTGGTGTGCATTTGTTTAATGAGCGAGTGTGGGCCTAAGGAGATCAACACCCTTTATCAAGGTGTGTATAATTATTGGGCAGCTTCTTTTCCTCAAGCAAAAAGAGCCAAAAAAGAGATTTAAGCGACTCTGAAAAGTTCAAAATTGTAAAAAGTCTTTCATAAGGATGCAGCACTCTTGAAACTGCTAAGATATTGGGCCGTGATCACGGAGCCATCAAATATTTTGCTGCAAATAGTCAAAGGGACGCGAGAAACACGTTGAGAAAAAAAAAGGAGTAAATTAATTAAGAAAGATTTGAGAAGAATCAAACGTGAAGCTACTGGGATCCCGTTATCTTCCAGTGCTGTCATGTTCCAGAACTGCAACCTGCCTGGAGGGCCTGGAGGTACAAGATGATCAGAGCTCAGAGACATGACCAAGGTAAGGACGGCTGAAACCCGACCACCACTGAACAGGACACATAAGTTGAAACATCAAGACTGGACCAAGACATATCTGAAAACAGACTTCACATCAGACGCCAGGAAGGTAAAGGCAGGGTACTGGTATGGGTTGCTATTATTAAAGATGAGCCAGTTGGACCTTTTCGGGTTGAAGATGGATTCAAAATCAATTCCCAAACCTACTGCCAGTTTTTAGAAGATTCTTTCTTCAAGCAGAGATTCAGGAAAAAGTCTGCATCTTTCAAGAAGACCATGATTTTTATGCAGGACAATGCTCCATCACATGCATCAAAGTACTCCACTATGTGACTAGCCGGTAAAGACCTTAAAGATGAAAGAATAATGAAGTGGCCCCCTTCCTCACCAGACCTAGACTGCATAAAGAGCTTGTGGGCCCTTCTCAAACGGGTTGGATTGACCGAGAGTTCTGTAGCTGTTCAATAATGAAATTAATCCTCAAAACTGCAACTTGCTTAGTAATTGTGCACACAGCGTATGTGGTTAACCATCAACTCATGTAGTCATTTTGGATGGAGTTACACTGGTCTGCTATCAGAAAGCTTGCAGTTATTTTCGTCCAGGGCATAGCCCAACAAGCTGCAGCTAGAACAGCAGCAAAAGGACTCATTGATAATGAGTAGACATGCACAAACAACTCTATTTGTTTTTTTTCTGCAAACGAAAAGACTCGTTTTTGTTTGCATGGAAAACGAGTCTTGAGTTTTCTACTTGTGGGGAGAGCCTGTGTAGCAATGACTGATTCTGGAGACTTGGTGCATCTGGTTGTTGTAGAGTGAGGGACAGAAAACCTTCGAGAAAAACATAGTTGAGTCTGTCCTCATATTTATTCTCCTCTTATGTGCTCTTCAGAGACCATTTCACTACCGTGGTCAATGTGCTAGGAGACTGTTATGGTTTGGCTCTCATCAATCATCTGTGCCTGGATGAGCTCCTGACCCTGGACAAACTGTCAAGGTAAATGAAATCATTAAAATGAGGTGTTCATTTGCAAAGACATAATGTTGCTGAAAGTATTCACTTCCTTGTCCAAATCGACCAATTCAGGCTCTCCAGTGATTCTCACTGCTACAGGTTGATGAAATCCAGCACTGAGGCTGAACAAATAGGGTGCTCTCAGAAGGAACTTGTGCATGAAGTGAATTTGAGCGTGGTACCATGATAGGATACCACCTGTACACTACTTCCAGACATTACGTGTTGTCTGCTGGACTCTAGACCAGTGTGGACGTGTTGTCTAGGGTTCCAAATCCTGCCTCAAAAGTATTAAAAAAAAATTGCAGTAAAGCTTTCCTCCCTGAACTCTGAAAGACAAACCATCTCTCCAAAGAGCTTCTTCTGGTCCTTTGCATCTGCTTTGAGAGTGTCTTCGCGTATTCTAGCTGCCAACGCCCAAAGAAACAGGTCCTCCAAAGAGCTATTACCACTGCCAATAAATTATTAACTGCTCCCTCTCCAACTCCAGTGAACTCTATATTCCTTTTGTCTGAGGAAAGAAAAGTAAAAATCAAACAACCCAGCACACTTGGCATATAGTCTATTTCATCTTCTGCCTTTAGGAAGAAGATGGAGGACAATAAAGGGTCAAACAAACAGGTTGTTGGTGAACAGAATAACTGTTTCAAATTACTATCCTCTAATTGTAACAGGAGATTGTCTACTTATGCACTCAGAATGTAATTTTATTTCTTGTTGGATTGTTGAATTCTTTTTCTGTATTAAATGCCGTTTTGTGATTTAGTCCTGCTTTTTATGTTTTACTCTGCGGAAGCTGCATCGCGTTCTCACTGATGTGAAAATGTTGATGTCCTAACAACGGGGTT